GAGGTTTATAAGATGATGCATGGGAAAGAGCAGGTAGAGAAAGAGGTACTTTTCTCCCTTTCTCACAATACAAGAACTCGTGGGCACTCCATGAAACTGCAGAGCGGTCGGGTTAGAATGGATAAAAGGAAGTACTTCTTCACCCAAAGAGTGATTAACACTTGGAATTCACTGCCACAGGAAGTGGCGGCGGCTACAAGCATGGACGGCTTCAAAAGGGAATTAGATAAGCATATGGGGCAGAGGTCCATCAGTGGCTATTAGCCACAAGGTATAGATAGGGACTCTGGGGCAAGTAATGCTCTGTCTTCTTGGTGCTTGGGGGGGGGTCAACAGTGGGAGGGCTTCTAATGTCCTGGCCCCACTGGTGGACCTCCTGATGGCACCTGGTCTTTTTGGCCACTGTGTGACACAGAGTGTTGGACTGGATGGGCCTTTGGCCTGATCCATCATTGGCGTCTCTTATGTTCTTATGTTCTTAAGGCAGTGTGTCATAAAGTTTTGCAATCCTGAGGTAACAAAACTGAAAAACAATCTCTCACTCCCCCTCCCCAGCTTTGAATGCCTAGACTGGGGGTTCCCAACCTTTTTGAGCCTGCAGGCACCTTTGGAATTCTGACACAGCCTGCTGGGCACAGCTACAAAATGGCTGCCACTGGAGGCAGTCACAAAATGGCTGCCACAGCTTGCCTTCAGTGAACATCCGTGTGCTGGGGGGGACAGCTGCTGCCAGAACGCTTTTTCAAAATCAAATTCCCAGTGGTCTGTCAGAAGCAAGAGTCTCACCTGGCTCTGCCCACTTCCTAAAAACACTTGATACGTCGAAGAAAGATGTTAGTAGGCCAAAGCATCTCAACTGATCTGGCTTTAAAGAGCTTACCTGGAATTTCTCACTTGTACCTGACTTCCGTCACACAACTGGTTGACTGTCCATTTTAAGGGTTTTTTTTACATTGCGGTTTATTCCATTTCATTTGACTTATTACTCGAAGTTGATCGCTGAGCCTTAGAAAGCCAGACGGAATCTAAATGAATGAACGTTTGCACCCCTTTCCCCCTAAAGCTTGCAGCAGCTGAGAAAACATATCTACGCTTATTATCCCCCACCCTTTCTCCAAAGACCTTGGGGGAAATATGGAGTATCCCTCCTCTGTTTACTCTTCACAACAACCCTGCAGGGTAGGTTAGGCCGAGAGAGTCAGACTATGTCAAGGTCACCCCAGTGAACTCCGTGGCTGAATGGGGACTTGATTGTAGTACTAGTAGAAAAGAGCAAGAGTCCAGCGGCACCTTATTGAGAAAGGTCGACTGCAAATGTTCAAGAAAAAACAATGTGTGCGTTATCATTCCGTTTCTTCCTTTTCCGCTCCAGCGACTCCCTGCAAGAAAGAAAGAAGCTGTGAGGGAAAATAAGTCCTCAGAAGATCCCCCGGGAGTCCAGCTGCTGTGGAATTAACGCAACGCCCTTCCAAGATGATTCCTCCCTTTGCTTCTGTAGCAATAAACTCTGGCTAATGGCATGATTTCGGCTTTGTCCCTGGCATGGTTTTATTGAATGGGTTTCTTAGCACAGCATCCAATCAGAATCTGTCCCCCCCTTCCATGCACACACAGTCAGTGGAAAACCTTTGTCCCATGGCTGCATTTGGGCTGTAGGAGCTAGTTTGGAAGTCCCAAGCTTCCCTCGACACTTAGCATGCGTACTGAGATAAGAACCCGATATTTCTGTTAAGGCCTGGGGATTCCATTGTCCCGAGTGTTGTAATAACTTGTAATTCAGCAATCTCCCGTTGCAGTCTGTTTCTGAAATTCCTTTGCAATAAACCAGCTACTTTGAGGTCTCCCATCGAGTTAAAATAACTTAAATTGAGTTAAATTTGAATCCCGTTCGAGTCCAGTAGTACCTTAGAAACCAAAAAGAGTTTCAGGGTATAAGCTTTTGAGACTCAAAGCTCCCTGCATCAGACACGAGAAGAAACAGAGATCTCTGAGTCCTTTTATTCCAGTCAGAAGGTGGGAAGGTGGTTGTAAAGATGCAAAGTTACAATGTGTATTGTAAGAACGTAAGAGCCCTGTTGGATCAGACCAGTCGTCCATCTAATCCAGCATCCTGTCTCACAGAGTGGCCAACCAGTTCCTCTGGAGGTCCAACAACAGGGCACAGAGGCCGAGGCCTTCATAAGAACGTAAGAAGAGCCCTGCTGGATCAGACCAGTTGTCCCTCTAATCCAGCATCCTGTCTCACACAGTGGTCAGCCAGTTCCTCTGGAGGTCCAACAACAGGGCACAGAGGCCGAGGCCTTCATAAGAACGTAAGAAGAGCCCTGCTGGATCAGACTAATAGTCCCTCTGGTCCAGCCTCCTGTCTCACACAGTGGTCAGCCAGTTCCTCTGGAGGTCCAACAACAGGGCACAGAGGCCGAGGCCAAGGCCTTCATAAGAACATAAGAAGAGCCCTGCTGGATCAGACTAATAGTCCCTCTGGTCCAGCCTCCTGTCTCACACAGTGGTCAGCCAGTTTCTCTGGAGGGCTGACAACAGGGCACAGAGGCCAAGGCCTTCATAAGAACATAAGAAGAGCCCTGCTGGATCAGACCAGTCATCCCTCTAGTCCAGCAACCTGTCTCACACAGTGGCCAGCCAGTTCCTCTTGAGGGGCAGCAACAACAGTGCATAGAGGACAAAGATTTAGGGCTGCCAGCTCTAGGTTGGGAAATACGTGGATATTTTGGGGATGCGGCCTGGGGGAGGTGGGGTTTGGGGAGGAAAGGGACCTCAGCCATTTTCTCCAGGGAGGTCATTTGGAGATCACTGTAATAGTGGAAAGTCTCCAGGTATCACCTGGAGTTTGGCATCCCTACTGGTTGCCTCCTGGCTCTGGGATTCGGGGGATTAGTACCTCTGAATATCACTGTGGCTAGTAGCTACTGACAGATTAACCTCCATGAATCTATCTAATCCCCCTTTAAAGCTATTTGTTCCTGTGGCCATCACTACATCTGCCGGCCATGAATTCCACATCGGAATCACTCTCTGCGTAAAGTGGTATTTCCTTTTGACCATTCTGAACCAACTGCCCATCAGCTTCAGCAGATGCCCTCAAGTTCTAGTATTTTGGGAGAGGGGGGGAAAGTTCTCTTTGTCCGCTCTCTCCACCCCAGGCATAATTTTACAAACCTCTTATCATGTCCCTCTGAGTCTTCTCGTCTCTAGACCAAAAACTCCCAGAGTCTTGAAGATGATTCAAGGACCATACAGGAATAATATGATGGGCAGCCCTGTTAGTCGGTCCATAGCGGTAGAAAAGAGCAAGAGCCCAGTAGCACCTTAAAGACGAACAAAATATGTGTCGGGGATGAGCTTTCGTGAGTTCTGAAGAAGTCAGTCAGCCAACAAAGCTCATCCCCTGATATTTTGCTAGTCTTTAAGGTGCTACTGAGCTGTGGTGGCTCAAGTGGTTAAGACGCTGAACTGCAGGCTGTGGAAGGTCAATGGTTTCAGCAGTTCGAGACCGTTCCCCCGCGTTCCCCCCCCTGAAATGACCTCTGCATGTACGCTTGGTCAGAGGATGAACTGGAATTACAGATCATGGTGGTATATATAGATGGCTGGTTAAATTAGCATGCAAAATACTTTCACTATTTTGCATGCTAATTTAACCAGCCATCTTGTTAAGTACTGGGTTCTAGGCGCATTGCAGCGATCAGCTCTAGTTTATTAAGTGATTTCAGCAAACCACAAGGGCAACCGGCAGGGCTTGGGCCCTGCTTGTAAAGCATGCAAAACACCACACCCAACACCCACTCCCATTGATTACACCACTTATCTATTGGTTTGTTCCAGGATCCTGATGATCTATTGTTCTAGAGTAGCAAGCTCAACCCGTTCCTGGTACAGCTTGAGGAATGGCTTTGGCTTAATACATAACACATCTGTATATACATTGAAATGGAATTACAGATCATGGGCCCGGTCACACGGGCCAGATAACGCAGGGGGAGGTGTGGCTTTTCGCACCAGTGCGATTTAACACGCCAGAACGCGATAAGACGCCGCAGTGGCAAAGTGGGGTTTAGTTTTTTGGTGCGCGTCAAGAGCATGCTTGAGCAATCACAGGTAGTTTTTTGGTGCTCGTCAAGAGCATGCTTGAGCAATCACAGG